ATTTTGAGCTGCCAGCTTTGTAGTTAGCAGCCCCGTGCTTAAGCCGCGGCGTCACCAGGGTTCCACCACTGTGACAGCTACAAAACAAGTGGCACCCTCCCTCCCCCAGAGTTACTGACATCTCTTTGCACCCTTCCCCGCAACTCTGCCACGAGGCCCGTCGGACCCGCCCTCACCCTGTGAGACGGAGCAGAGCTGCCCCTGCGGGTCTCGGATGCCGCATCTTTGTCCCGGGGACTGACCTGGGGGGGTCACACTGCTGACCGACCTGGACCTCACTAGGTCGCCCGGACCCCTTGGTGACACACCGGCTCTAAGTAAAGCACGCTCTGACCGCCTACAGACAGACAGAATGGCCTTTATGGACTTCAACAAAATGAATAAAAGCTTAGCAAATGCTTGGTCAAGTGGAGGGGCAGCGAGACGCGGAAGGCCTTTGACGGGAGGATGGGCACAGTGGCCGCCACGCTGGGCTCCAACGTGAGAAGCAGCGGAGGCTGGCGCAGGAGCGGGCGGCATAGCGTTCGGGGGTGCACGGGGTTGCGATGAGTCAGAAGCGACCAGATGGCACCTCACAACAACAAACATGGTCTCCGTGGGCAGATACTTTTTTTTAATTCTCTTGGTTGTTTTGAAAGAAAATGGCTGACACTGCCTTATTTCTGAGGAGCAAATGTGACATTTGCAAACCACCATCGTAACCCGATCTCTCTGGGCGGCCACCGCAGGGGACTCGCAGCTGACTTGGACAACTCGTGAGAAATGACCTCACATCTGCCCACGTGGCCTCCGTCGAGTCTGAAATGGAGATGAGCAGTGGGGAGGCAGGAGGGACTCGTGAACGGGGCAGGGGTGAAACAGGTGATTAGAGGACACGCCCTCTGACTAGGACCACACCTAAACCAAGGTCACTGCCGTCCCGTAGGTCCCAACTCACAGGGACCCGATGGGACAGGGCTGAACTGCCCCGTGGGTTTCCGAGACTCCGATCACTCTTCATAGGAGCAGACAGCCCCATCTCTCTCCCAGTGACTGCGACAGTACATTACCCATCTTCACCTTCCACGTGGGAGACCTGGGACGGATGCACCTCACCCTCAGCCACTGGTAGGTGCTACGATGCTAAACAGGTTTCAGGGACATTTCTGAACTGCGATGGGCAAGGAAGAAAGCTCAGTCTACAGAAACCCTATGAATCACAACCAATCATGAGACGGCACAGGAGCAACCCGCAGTTGATTCTGTTGCACATGGGGTTCACGTCGTTGAGGGTGACTTGCGAACAGCAAACAACAATAATGTCCCCATCCTAAGCCCCATGAAGCCAAGCCCGCTGACCCTGGGGTGATTCCGACCCACAGCGAGCCCAGACAGGGCTTCTGAGACGATACACCTTGATGGGGCCAGATCACCTCAGCTTTCTCCCCAAGAACGGCTAGTGGGTTTGAACCACCAACCTTGGAGTTAGCAGTCCAATGCTTGCTGGACAGTGCCACCCAGAACTGGAGAAGATGTTTGGCTAGACAGCAAAAGGGAATTAACTTTCTCGTTGCTATGAAGGCTGCTAGTCAGCTGACTTTCAAATAAGGAGAGTAAAACCTGGGTGATTGGGGGGCGGTGGGGGGGGGGCATGGAGTCCCAGAGGTTCTTGAACGCAGAAGAGGGAAGCAGAGGCGGGAGTGAAAAGCTGTGAGAACAGACGCCGCTCACTGCTGGCTCTAAAGATGGAGGAAAGGGACCGAGACAAGTCTTCACCATTGTCTGAGTGACAGGAGCCAAGGGCTGTGGGTGGCCTCGGGAAGATGGAAAAGCAAGGAAATGTATTCTCCCCTAGAGTCCCCAGGCAGGAAGGCAGCCCTGCCGACATCTTGATTTTAGCCCCATGAGGTCTGTGGCCGGCTTCTGACCCACAGAACTATAAAATAATAAATGTGTGTTATCTTAAACCACGAAATTGATGGTGGCTTGTTAGAGCAGCCACAGAAAGCTAACACAGGTGTGGCCTGCCTGGGCTTTGGAGGGGTTAAGAGCTCCCCAGGTGATTCTAATATGCAGCAACGTGTGCTAACCACTGAACGAGAAGAAAGATTGGGCCCAGCTAGTGAGCTAGTGATCATCCCAAGGAGCCCAAGTGGCGCGGTGGCTAAAGTGCTCAGCTTCAAACTGAAAGGTCTCAAATCCACCAGCTGCCTTGAGGGAGAAAGCAGTGGCAGTCTGTGTCTTTGAAGATTTAGTCTTGACAACACTAACGGGCAGTCTGACTCTGTCCTAGCAGGTCCCTATGTGTCAGACTAGATGGCGGGGGTGGGGGTGGGGGGTGGATGGTGGCGTTTCCTCTCCTGGAACAACACAGGGTGATTTGTTCAGGGAAGTCAGCAAGTCCACCCAATAAATCATCGTCTACACGAAGCCCAGGTAGTGAAGTGGATTGTAAGTTGAGCTGCTAACCGCAGGCTGCAGTTCAAACCCTCCAGCTGCTCCGCGGGAGAAAGAGGAGGCTCTCTGCTCCTACGAAGATCAGCAGCAGTGCACGGTCCTGTTGGGAGACGATGAGTCGGAATTCACCAAGGACTATCTAAACACATCACAGGGTGGGGAAGCTTCACTAGGGCAGGGGCGGGAGTTCTTTCCAATCTCCCATCCAAGTACTAACCAGGCCTGACCTTGCTGAGCTTCTGAGATCAGATGAGATCGGGCGTGTTCAGGGTGGTATGGCTGTAGACAAGTTCTTTCCAAACTGCCTAGGCCAAGTTTCCTTGGGATAAAGAATAATTACACACCGAGAATTAAACAGATTTTTATACAGTTTATTGTTTTGCCAATACTGTCTTTCAAGGAAGAAACTGACCCCAAACTAAGTGAATTAAATGACAATATAATTATATATAGGAACTCTAGCAGTGTAGTGGGTTATGCACTGGGCTGCTAACCCCAAGTCAGCAGTTCAAAAGCACCAGCCACCCACATGAGAGAAAGAGAAGACTTCCTATTCCTATGAGTTACAGCCTTAGAAACCTATAGAGTCACTTTGAATCAAAATCTAGTCAATGGCAATGAGTATAATTATATATAATCATATGCACATATATTACAATCAAACCTGCAAAAGCCAGAACTGATGGAAGGCAGACACTTGCCAGAAAAGAAAAACTCGAATTTTTCTACTCAAACAGATGACAGAAATGTGGTACGCTGGCCCCCTGTCAGAGAACTCTCAAGACCTAGAAAATGGACGTAGCAAGTCCGACTCGCTCAGGCCTCCCTGCCCCACATTCCCAGTAGCACCATCAGAAATCAGCATGCTTCCCTCCTGCCTGTGCCCCTGGTGAACAGTCTCTACAAATATGGTCTCCCCCAGGGCTTCAACTGCCACTGACACAGACAGGGGTGACATGCTTGTGAGCGCCGCTCGCAGAGCCACCAGGAGGACGGCCATCAAAAGCTCCAGTCTCGGAACCTCTGACTTTTCTCTCTCTCTTCTGTCTTCCTGGAAGGACGGGGCTTTCTACTGCCATCAGAGTTGCAGTCTCTTAAAAAGACAAAGAACGCCACCCCTGGAACTCCCAGGGGCAGTTCTACCTGCCCTGGGTCGCCACGAGTCTGAATCAACGCACCGGCAGTAGAGTTTGGTTTATTTTGGAGACTCGGTCTTCCTCAGAGAGGAGCCTAACATACCTGACCCCCCCAAAAGAGAAAGAAAAGGAACAGGTACATGAGAATCCAAAGACCTGAGCATGAATCGTACAGAGACACAGGACAAGTCTCTGAGTTCGCTTGTCTCTCACAAAGGGGACAGACAGCATGACTACCATGAAGTTGCTGTACAGGTGAAATACAATGACTTGGTTTACATTTCTAACAATATTACTTTTATTTGATTTCTTGAAGTTGTACTTCATTCTTTTTTTTTAGTCATTTTATTGGGGGCTCTTACAGCTCTTATCACAATCCATCCATCCACTGTGTCAAGCACATTTGTACATATGTTTCCATCATCATTTTCAAAACAGCATCTTTCTACTTGAGCCCTTGGTATAGCTCATTTTGCTCCCAGTTAGACTTCATTATATTTAAGAAGCCTTCAGTTTACACTAAATGATTCTATTCTATTATTTTAAAACAAACAAAAAAGAAATACAATGGCTCACAGGAGGTGCTTCCAAGCACACAGGCGGGGCTGTCAATAAAGGTTAGCTTCATAAAACTCAGTGATTCTCAGGGTTTCCCACATCACCTCACAGTGAAAATGCCTGTTGACCCTGTCCACTCTCTGAGTTCCAGTAGCAGAGCTCCAACTGCCAATTTGATGGTTCCACCTGGATCTCTCACGGGCCCCTCGACTGGCTGGCACATGCCCCAAACTGAACCTAAGATCCCACTCACAAGCCAGGTGCCCCTTCCATTTCCCAGACTTCCTTCATCACAGCAAAGACACTCTGGCATCTGCTCTTTCCCTTCTGTTCCCACCACTACAACTCTCACTCGGGCTCTTGTCTCTCCTGCCACACACCTCAGACACAAGGGCCTTTCAGCCCGTCTCCCTGTCCTGACCCCTGCTTACATTTACACAGTATCCTCTCTCCACCCATCACTGAACAAAATCTTCAAACCCTCCCCCGCCTGGTATTTATGCACCAAGAGCGAGAGCCACGGGGTATAGTGGTGGGAGGAGACCCACACCGCCTTGGCAAGTACCACGCACTGAGCAACGCCAGGCGAGCACTGTGAGGAAGGCAAGCTCCGAGAAAAGCGGAGCACAAGGCAAAGTCCTTTTCAAAGCAGCTATGGAGAAGTGGAACTTTGGGGGCAGATTTTCTTCATGCACTATTATCACAACAATCGCAATCTATCACAAAGCACCCTCAAGTGCATCAGAGTATCATAATCCCTTGATGTTAAACCACTTTCCACATTTCATAATCTTAAAATGACGGATAGTTGAGGCTTTTAATCGACATATACTAAATGGCATGTTTGGTTAAACTCGGACTTGTCCTTACCGTTTTGTTCGTCCAATTCATTCCCAATCTCCTGCCCCATTTGTTTTTGGCGACTGATGATGGAGGAAAGGGCATCAAGGCCTGCATCCTGCTCTGAAAGACAAAGACAAATAATCACCTCGCTGAAAAACCAAGGAAGGACATTTCAAAAGCAGAAAGATACGCAGGCATGTCGCACAATTCCGTGTGTGGTCAACCTAACACTGCAAGGCATTCAAAGAAGCCTGGTGGCACTGGGCTGCTAAGCGCAAGGTTGGAAACCACCAGTCACTACGAGAGAGAGAACTGAGGCTTTCGACTCCTGCAAAGAGTTCATCTCAGAAGCCCACAGGGGAGGTTCTACTTTGTCCCAAGGGGTTACTATGAGTCAGAACCGACCCACTAGCATTGAGTTTGGTTTGGGTTAGTAAGTCATTCAGATAAAGTCATGACATCAGTTAAAATACTGGAATGTGATGAAGAAAAATTAAATACCTCACCCTTACTAAAATAATACTAAAATGATTTCCAGATTATTTGAATTTTTCATGATTAAAAACACAACAATATCATAGTCGGTTAAATGTTTTCCTGGCACATAATATATGAAAAGCATGTACAAATCAATATAAAAAGACTTACTGTCCCAATTTCTAAGTGGGCAAAGGAGAAAGAACATGTACAAGAAAATAAAAGAGAAAAATAAGTCTTCTGACTTTACTACTATTTTTTTCAGTACAAATGTAAACAATGGGTTCTTTTTTTCTTGCCATATTTGTGAGGATTAATAAGACTGATAACACCTGGGCTAAATAAAGTGTGAAGAACTAAACTTGGGAGGGTAAGTCCATACACCTTTCTAGAGAGCAACTTGTGCCTATCTTTCATCTACCCATTTATATTTCTAAAAACTCATGGTACCAGCACATGCAGATGATATGTAGTGATATTATACAAACAAATTCCCTGAGACATTGTTTGCAGTGCCAGTTATCAATCTACTGCCACTCTCCTCCAAATCCCACCTTTTTGACTGCTCAGCGAAAATGGGTCTGGACCCTTAAATATTTTTCCTTGGCCAGCTTTGTCACTAGAGGGCGCTGGGGAGACACTGCAGGTGAGAAAGGGTGTTGGCTTCTTGGTTGCTGCCTGGTCTCTGCCGGGCTCCACGGCATTGGCGTTCAATGTCAGCTTCTGCAGTGTCCAGCGGCCAAGAGCACCCAGGGCCCAGCAGCCTCCCCAACTCAACACCTGCTGACACGCCATGTCCTTGGTCAGTCTGTGGCAGACTGTCTCCAGTAAGACACACCTTTCCATGAACAGCTTTCCCTGGGATCCTCAAAAACCCAAAACCAAACTTACTGCCACTGAGTCAATTCTGACTCATGGTGACCCTATAGGGCATGGGAAAATGCCCCTATGGGTTTCTGAGACTAACTAACAGTGAGTTTGGGGCTTGTTTTGTTTTGTCATAATAAGGTGAACAATGGCAGGGAGGTGCGTATGCCTTAGAACAGTCAACCACGACATCAAAAGGGCACCAGGTGCTCAGGGAGAAAGCTCAGAAGGCAGGAAAGAAGGAAAAGTGTAGGAAGCACAGGAAGTGGAAGTGTGCTGTTCAATTGGGAGCATTGTAATCAGTGGCCCAAAGCAAAATGTGTATGAGGTTTTGAAAAGAAAACTAATTTGCTCAGTAAAGTTGGACTCAAATTGTAATTAAAAAGTTTAAAAAAATACTGTTTCACACAAAGACCCATCTATAAAAAAGCAATCCCGTAAGTCTTCTTATCCCAGATCACATTAATACGTATGTATATTTTTTTTCTCATCTTTTTTATGGAATTAAACCACTACCCATAACTCGTTAATTCATCTGGAATTTATTTAAACTAATAGTGTGAGAGGTAAGGGCCCCCTGGGGACATTTTTGACACTCTGTACTTTTAAAACTACATAGTCTATTGTCTCTAGGGGCCACTCTAGAGGGTCGCTTTATAGCAAAATCACTTTATAATGAGGTTCTTTGGGGTCTTGAGTAACAGCCTCTTGGATGGCCTCCAAGATAAATCTATCTTCAACCTGGCGCTACTAAAAGATGGCAAATGTTAGAGGGAAATTCCAAATGCATCCCAAGAATAATCGAGATAGATGGGTCAAGTGACAGCGTGCCTTGAAAGGTAAAACCATTTGTAAAAGAGGAAAGGGGAATCTCCTGGGGTTTCCAGCTAGGAGGAGTCATTAATGTCCCACACTTGCTGCATGTCGTTGTTAGGTGCCAAAGAGTGCTGCGACCTGTAGCGACCGTGTGCACACCAGAACGACACACTGCCCGGCCCTGCGCCATCCTCAGAATTGTCCCCATGCCTGAGCCCACTGATGCGGACACTGTGTCAGTCCATCGCGTTGAAGGCTTTCCTTTTTTCGCTGACCTTCGACTTTGCCAATCATGCTGTCCTTCTCCAGGGACCGGTCTCTCCTGAGAAGATGCCAAAAGTAGTCAAGACAAAGTCTCGCCATCCTTGCCTCTAAGGAGTACCCTGGCCGTCCTTCTTCCAAGACAGATTTATTTGTCCTTTTGGAAGTCCAAGGGCCTTTGAACATTCTTTGCCAGCACGACAGTTCCATGCATCGCTTCTTCTTCTGTCTTCTTTATTCAGTGTCCGACTTTCACATGACTATTGAAAATACCATGGCTTGGCTCAGGTGCACCGTAGTCCTCAAAGTAACACCCTTGCTGTTAACACTCTAAAGAGGCCTTGATTTTTGACTCTAAAGAAGTGCAGCAGATCTACCCAACGCAATGCATCATTCGATGTCTTGACTGCTGCTTCCGTGAGCATTGATTGTAGAGCCAAGCAAGTCAAACTCCTTGACAACTTCAATCTTTTCTCCGTGGGTCATGAAGTGACGTACTGGGCCAGCTGTGAGGATTTTGGTGTTCATTACTTTGAATGTAATCCATACTGAAGGCTGCAACCTTTGATCTTTATCAGCAAGTGCTTCAAGTCCTCCTCACTTTCAGCAAGCATGGCTTGATGTGGTAGAGACACAGATTATAAATGAAAACTACCTAGATTACACTCCTCTCTATGAAATTTGACTTGCTATCTGACTCAACTACCCAGAGTCCCTCTTTCTACAGCAAAACAAAACTCACTGCCACCGAGTCAGTTTTAACTCATAGTGACCCTATAGGCCAGCGTAGAACTGCCCCCTCTGGGTTTCCAAGAGTGTAATTTTTTTTTTGGACTGTAATTCTTTATAGGAGTAGAAAGCCTTGTCTTTCTCCTGTGGAGCTGGCTGGTGGTTTCAAATCATTAAGTTTGCTGTTAGCAGCCCAATGCATAACCTCTGTGTGACCAAGGATCCTTTAAAAAGCAGAAAGAGAGCTGAAATTGGGCTATGAGTTCTTGGCAGTGCCTCTACCATGGTAAGTGCTACCACAAATTACCATTCCATAATCAAAAGCCACAGAAGGACCAGATAATTAAAATGCTGTGCATGTTTTGTTAATAATCCTTCTGGTGGCCCAGGTCCCTCCAGATCTACAGTGGCCATCCTATGTGGAGAGGAAGAGTCATCTTAGCCATGTGTAAACCAGTGTAAACCATCTGGTAGATAGGAGTAAGTAACACTTCCATGTACCCAAGGAAAAAATAAATTTGATTTCATCAAGTTTTTGATTCAAGTATACTTTTGCTGTGCTTTAATTCTGAGAACCTATTAAATGGTAAGGCCTAATTAATCATCTGGCAAAATAAAAGAAGACTAGACTATTCTCAAAAGAGTCTACATAAGGAGCTTCCACACTAACAGAGACTCAGAAAAAAGACCTGGTGTCCTACGACTGACAACCAGGCAATGAAAACCATGCAAATCCGGGGAGGAGATGAGCCAGTCAGGGTGCAATGTAGCAACGATGAAAAATACAACTTTCCTCTAGTTCCTAAATGCTTCCCCACCACCACCACCACTATCATGATCTGAACCCTACCTTGCAAGTCTGGCTAGACCAGAGGGTGTACACTGGGACAGATAGGAACTGGAAGCACAGGGAATCCAGGGCGGATGAGCCCTTCAGGACCAGTGGTGTGAGTGGCGATGCTGGGAGCGTGGAGAGAGGGTGGGTTGGAAAGGGGGAACCAATGACAGGGATGTACATGTGACCTTCTCCCTGGGGGACAGACAGCAGAGGAGTGGGTGAGCGGAAGTGTCAGACAGTGCAAAATATGACAAAATAATCATTTATAAATTATCAAGGGTTCACGAGGGAGGGGGGAGCGGGGAGGGAGGGGAAAAATGAGGACCTGATGCCAGGGGCTTAAGTGGAGAGCAGGTGTTTTGAAAATGACGAGGGCAATGAATGTACAATTGTGCTTTACACAATTGATGTATGTGTGGATTGTGATAGGAGTTGTATGAGCCCCTAATAAAACGATTAAAAAAAAAGAAAACTGTATAGATCACAAAGATCCGATCCCATCGTGCACAGGGTCACCATAAGTCTAGAGCAACTTGACAGCAGCTAAGAAATGAGGGAAAGATTCGGCCGATACATAAATAAGTTACTACTCTGAAAAGACTCTTAGAGAAAATTTTAAGAACAGTGTTTTTGTTTCGTTGTTGTTGTTTTTTTGTTTAAAGATTTTAGGAAAGGAATCCTTCTGGTATAAGCTGAAAACACAGGGAATCCAGGCCAGAGAAACCCCTTAGTACCCATAATGAGAGTGGCCATACCAGGAGGGGAAGGGGCAGGTGGTCTACATACAACACACTGATCTACATGTAACTCCCTCCTGGGGGATGGACAACAGAAAAGTGGGTAAAGGGAGACATCAGTCAGTATACAACATGAAAAGATAATAATAATTTATAAATTATCAAGGGTTCAAGAGACAGGGTGGTGGGAGGGGGGGAAATGAGGTGCTAAGGAGCTCAAGTAGAAAGAAAATATTTGGAAAATGATGATGGCAATGAATGTACAAATGTGCTTGACGCAATGGATGGTGATAAGAGTTGTACGAGGCCCCAATAAAATGATGTTTTTTAAAACTAAAGATAAGCATATAATCGAAGAAAGTTGTCTGTGAGGTTGTGGTTTCAAGGGTCCAAAG